TATATATATATATGTATATATAAAATAAGTTATTTAATAATATTACAATATTTTATTAAATAATGTTTTCTCAAGGAATTAATCTTGGCTCGTAATCATAATGATGATGATAATATTAATTATAATTTTTTTAGATTTCTGTATTATAAAAGAAGATAATATTTGCTTTGTTGATTTATACGATAAAAGAAATTATTTTAATTTTAATATAAATAAACTAATTACTTGGAATTCTAATGTTTCTAATAACATCTATTTAAATACCATTTTTAATCAAATCAATAGAATTAAAAGAATATGTAGCAATGTTTATTTATCCAAAAAACAAATAGACCAACTCTTTCAAAATTTGATTAAAAATTGATACCCAACTAAAGTAATTAAATTCTACATAAAGTCATTGAGTTAATTGTATATTATTATAAATAAATTTATTAAAAAGCTTCTTTGTTAATTTATATAATTTTTGCCATGTGCAAATCCATTTCGGGAAATTCCATGGCTAAAATTTTATGCAAAACAGGCTATTCATGTTTCTTTCTCCTTTCTGTTTCATTTTATTTTTTTCTTAAATACAAGTTAGTTTTCTAAAATTATTAATTGTCAATTTCTTTAAATTATCCAGCATGATATTACCTTGCGCACATCCATTTTCGGACCCATAGTTGATAACTAACAAATCAAATGCTCTTCAGTACTGCAGTAAGAACGCACTATAAAACAAATCCCTCTATTTACGCTTTATCCTCAATTTGCGCTTCCGTTTTCATATTTTCTAACCTAGCAGTCTTGTTACGAAAATATTTTAAATCATTTTTGAAAAATTTTCCGTTTTGAATTCGCTACTCTATTCTACAGATTTCCTTTCATGTTTTATTCTGTTTTTACTTTATATTTTATTTTCTGTTTTTACTTAATGTGTCCTATTTTATTTATTGTAAATATTTTGTAAATTTTTTTGAGTGCTCCTCACACTATTGTATTGTTATATTTTGCTTTTGCTTTGGCTGTATTGATACAATATCAAAAAGCACTCCTTTCCGCGGATATAATCGTGTGAGCTAATGAAAAGATTATATCTTTTATTTTCCGGATTTTTATTAATTTTTTCTTCCTTTTTTCGTTTTTTTTTCTTTTTGTTCTTTCTATACATATATATATATATATATATATATATATATGTGTGTTTAGATTTTTAATTTGAAAATTGTCCAAATTATAGACATTTGAAAAGATAAAATTTTCATTAAAAACGACAAACTTGCATACGTATTGATGGCTGTAACATTTTTTCTAATTATATCAAGAAAAAAATTCAAAAATCAAAGCTGAGAAATAGAGCTTTCATATGTGACCTTTTCAGGCTAGGTCAAAACTTTAAAAATGACCTGATTTAACCTTTGACCTGAAATATCTCAAAATATATCGTCTCAAAAAATTACAAAAAAGAATATTGTTTTGCGGCAACATTCTTCTACACATTTACAAATTTATAGCCTGGAGTCTCAACAGGAAGTATATAAAAAATTAATAATAGGGGTATGCTGAACAACATATTGATTTTTATAATAACATTGAAGGCTGGAACGTGCAGCTTATCTTTTGATGGTACCAGCAACACCATCACATTATTCACTTATTCCATTGGCCGTAGGAAAGAAATGCCACTCAGCTGTGAGACCAAAGTCTATACCATGGTAGCAAAAATCTATAAAGTTCTTTCGATTTTTGTACTGTAAAACTGCTCCATCTGAGAAGTAATAAATATGTTTTATTTTGTTGTTTAAATGTGAGGTTATAAACTGCAACAATTGGGTCTGGAAAAGGTGAACATTGACAGTATCATGCTTGAGACTTTCTGAAATGGCAACAAAGGAAACATAATCCAATTTAAGTGTTCCTGAATTGATATAGTATATGACAAAAAGGTGAATAGTACACTGGAAATCATTCCAATGATATCCTTGGACTGCATCCTGCAATACAAAAGAATAATTTTCAGCAAACTCACAGATCACTATGCAGTCATTATCATCAAGGCCTTCCTTCAGCTTTGATAAAAAGCATGACTGTTGATTAGTAATGAAAGAATGTGATAGAAACATCCTCAGTTTTACTTAAAATGCTTCAAGAAAATCTTCTACTATGTTGTTAACTGTCATAAGCGTTGAGTGGTGTGTTGTAGCCCACAGTTTATAGATAATCTCGTCTATTCGGTTCAAGAGAAATACGTTGTTTATTTGCTCTAGTACGTGTGTAACACCAGGACAATAATCACAATTTAAAAAAATGCATTCTGGAAAAGGAGGATTGCAAAACATTCTTGATAAGCAATATTTGTATGTTTTAAATGGTAATTCGTCATAGATACTCAAATGCTGTAATTTGCAACCAACTAGCATAAGTTTTACATTTTCATGTATCAAGACACAATGGGTTCCACTCGCACCAGCCAGCACACAATTTTTCGGACGCAAATCACAGAACTTGGAGAATCCAACTCTAACATTGAAATTTTTATCTTTAAACCCTTGAAAAATTTCTTTAATATTTCCTAAAGCCATACGCTTTTGTTTCTGTATTTTTAACCCTTTGCACTCGAGAGGTGACTGACAGTCACCACTGTCACCTGTAAATTACCCGCCACTCTAAATGTGAATTTTTTTTCACCTTAATGTTTAGTTACCACTTCATTCAGTGATCTCCGGGTATTATAAGGTAAGTTTGTTAAAAATCTTTCAAAAAGTTAGTGGTTGCGGCTATTTTCTTAACAGCTGAAAGAACTTCGAGTGCAAAGGTTAATCCTGATTCAATCATTGCGACAAACTCTTTTCTTCCAGGCAAACAACGACTCACTTTACTGTTGTAATATGCAGTAATATTATCATTTGTGCTGTCAGTAAGAGTTTTTCCAGGTCTAGGATTTGGACTTGCTATAATACCCTGGTCTTCAACTAGCAGTTTAGATTTTCCTGCCGTATAAAATGTTGCATTAAATTCTTCCTGACTTTTACGAATACTCTAGGTTTTAGGCAGTATTGTTAGCAATTGAAGCTTAAGACTACTTGAGTCTGTTTCTTGAAATATTTCCTTCAGCTGCTGTGAAATCATAATAGATTCCTCCATTGTTGCAGAATTCATACGTTTTCGATTATTAAAATTGTCTTCTAAAACTTCTCCGATTTTCTTAAAGTTTTTCCACTATATGACCCAAAACCTAATCTTTTTGTTTTTATAGGAGATTCACCTAAAAGTGGTATTGTATTGTTCAAACTTTCTAATTCTGCTTTTTTTATCATTCCATAATTCCCTCTGAACATCCACTTCTGAATCACTTTCATTGAACAACCTAGGGTTTGCCTCTATTTCATTTGTAGCTGAGAAATCTGGCAAATTCGAGAGAGATATTCGGCAAGAAAAACATATTTTTGTTGCAAAGATAAATTTGGGCATTTTTTAATCGTCCAAGGTGATGCTTTTCTCAAATTCTTTTCGACATAGGTGTAATCATTTTTAATTAGAAGATTAACGTAAAAAATATGACTTTCAAAATCCATTTTGTGTAATGATATTTTTCATTACAGAAAGTGGTTAGACTATCTAAAACAGCAAAATTAATTGAATTGACCTCTATTATTGTTATAATTTACATTCAATTTAAATTCACTTACCGCAAGAGCTGTATTAAAATATTTGCAAAGTAACTCCACGCCTAAAGGCGATGTAGCTCCAGGCATTACTTCTCTGAAAAAATAATTAAATGAATTTATTTCTTCCTTAATCAACAGCTAATATTTCATTAAGAACTCCAAAAACTAAAAGACAAAGTTAAAAAAAAATACAAACTATTGCAAAAAATTACTTTCTTTGACAACGAACGCAAAAATCGAACGCAACATAAACGCACAAATAATGTAACTTAGGACTATGCGCAATTCTCTCGGTACTAAAACAGAAGTTCAACAATATATTTTTAAAAAAAATGATAGCGAACTTTAAACTAAGAGTTGCATATTTTCGTGTAATTTTGCCAACTTTTTAAAAGGCTCAAGCCACCCTAACTGTAAATAAGGGGAGTATGAAATATGTTTTTGACTTATTTAAAAGTAGTGGTGAGTAAACCCCTATGAATCAAGTTTACTAAAACAAGAATCATTCAACCCTTTCCAATCGAAGTTCTTTCATCAGTTAAAAAAATGGACTCCACCACTAACGTTTTAAAAGATTTTTTACAAACTTATCATACTTCATTCAGTGATCCGGAGATCACTGAATGAAGTGGCAACTAAACATTAAAATGAAAAAAATTTCACAATTATGGTGGTTGGTAATTTACAAGCGACATTGGTGACTGACAGTCACCTCTCGAGTGCAAAGGTTTAAGAGACCACCGCTCAGAAATGTATGTCCGTTGTCCGGAGCAAGTTTAGAACTCTCCTATAACATAATGGTGAAACGCAGAAACGAAAGAAGTCAATAAGTTAAATTATAATAATTATATGTTTCATTAAAAAAAATATCTCTTTCTTTTAAAAAGAAAAAATCAAATTTTTAAAATAAAAAATGGAAAATAAAACAGTAAGGAATGAGAAACAGCAATAGGGTTATTGAGCGGAGAGAGAAGGGAGGGAAGCCCCTTAATATGTAATAAAATTAATACCAAATCAAAAAAAAATCGAGGTTGCTTGAAGTTTTAATGGTTAAAGTTTATTCTTTTAAAAAAAATTAAAAACAACAGAAATGAAGCAAGTAAAGAAAAACAAAGATGAATGAGAAACAATACAAGGATTTGTAAATCGAGTGTTCAGGGAAAAAAGCGTCCTAGTCTTATATAAAAAAAAATCAAGCTGAAAGAAAATAGAATTTTTCTTGTTTCCGATGAGAAAGTATAAGGTATAAAATACTATGCGACAAACTACTTTTTAATATTAGATTTGTCAGTTATTTTACGAAAAAAAAACGATAACAAAGCAAAAGTAGCAAGCTTTAATTCTAGGAAATTTTCACTTTGTTACACACTAATAGCAAAGAAAGAAGATGTCAAAATAAAGTATGGACAATATTTTTCAAAGTAAACAAAAAAATGTAATATTGAAAAATAATATTTTCAGTAATATCAAAACGGTTAATTTCTAAATTTCTTTTGAAAGAAAAACTTATAAGAGACTTGTGAGAACTTTTTGTACATCGTTTGTATTATCGAGTAGTAAAACATTTTTCCAAACTATAGATTTTTAAAAACAATATTTTATCCCATAATCCCATACAATTTAAAAAAACATTTCTTACCCAACATTTGCTACAGTAAAGAAATCTCTTTCACTCCTCAAAATACAATCAAATTCATGTTTCAACTCATAATCAGTGAGTGATGCTCCACTTGTTACAGGTCGACTCTAAAACAAATATCAAATGAAATCGAAATTTTTATTGTGTTTTAATAATGCTAAAGGAATCAATTTCAAAGAGAATTAGCATCACACCGCTCGATTTTGTTGTTTTTATTGCCACTTGCTACTGCCAGTAAGCCTTCTTAGGAAACCAAGTTAATTTAAGGCAGAGCGTGCGTTTCTCGTTTTTCAGTGGCGCTATCTGTGGTCAAGAATACGAATTCAGCCGCAAATGCACGTCACAGCCCTTTTTCAGGGCGAACCCATTCATTTATCCATTTATACATCCATAAATCGTAATTTCGACCGGAACCAGAGAGCGATCTAGCCCCGATTCAGTACCCATAGAGGTATTAGTCATTTATGCATAGCTGCAGAATTCTACTGCCGTTCAGAATTAATTTTCTTAGTGGTAGCAACATTAGCGTTTTGGCGTAATAAATATTGAAGTTTAAAGTTTCTTCAAAAAAATTTAACTACCACGAAAACTCAATAATTTAAAAAAATATGCATATAAGATCTATTTGTTGACTTATTATGCTTATAGATGTCTAAATAGCTTTGTTTTTAGAAAGATTTTCCTAACTTAATGGTCGTTTTACTATCACTTTCTAAAATCTTTTTCAATGACTGTGCAAGCTGGCAGGTATGATTATGAGAACTGGAAGACTTTGTGACCCCGACAGATATAACGTGCACCAGCCATCATTTAATACAAGGGGTTTCTTAGGCCTGCAGAATTCGAATTTCCATTCTCACGAACACGAGTCCTACGTCCTACCAACAAAGTTATCTCGGCTCGTATTGCCCAATACTTGTATTATATAATAATCATAAATGAGTTTTTATAAAAAATAGTAGTAGCACATTTGTATTTAAATTAGGAAGATATTTTATTCTGTTAACTACACATTTAGTTTAAAAACATAACAATACTTCTGTTTTTGAACCAAAAATAGTTTTAGTGCTATGAAATTATTTGTTAATGGTGTATTTCTCACTCGCCTAAGATAAAAACTTATAGTGGTAATATTTTCATTAGCATACTCCAACAACAGAAAATTAACGTTTAACAGTTTGTGGAGTAACAAATTTTAGTCTGGCAATCAGAAAGCCTCTACACGCCTAGTGACATCAAAAAGCCTCTCTACACGGTTTCGTATATGTAGTTTGATTAGACCTCTATGCAAGATTCACTCATTTCCTGACTACTAAATACAGAAATTATCATCCTCTCATCGCGAATAGTTTCTCGCCATTTTTCACTCTTTTAAATCGTCACTAGAGCTCTGTTCGTGCTAACAATAAAAGAGAGCAAAAGGAAATTTATCGCACATTGATATTTTTTTAAACACGTAAACTATCTAGTGTGCTAGCCACTGACTGGAGTACAATGTTCGATAAAAAAAAAAGAATTTTTAATGGTTTCTGATCTCAACGAGCCGAATTTATTCCCGTAATATCGACTAAAGAACCTTATCGTCAATTTTAATTTCGATTACTTCCTGATTGGCTATAGCGCTAAGATTTTAATCGGAGCTTTGGATTTGATGACAATGTAAGCTTTAGTCGTTTGTTGACTACATAGCAAGTAGAATCATTGCCATATAGCTTTAGGGAATTTCGTCAGTCTTGCAAGTCGCAATTTCAAAAACTGAACTGAAGTTTTCATCGTGACAGAAAAGCCAACTGCTCCGGATTCTTCAAAATATTTGTAATAAAAACGGTAGAAAAATATTAAATTAGCAGACTTCCGACTAATTCTGATAGTATTGTGAAAAGGCTCGTCTAAATTGTAACAAAATGGCGCATCACATAAGCTTCTGAAATATTCAGAAGTAATGGTGTGGTGAGTAAAACCCCGTAAATCGAATTTGCTAAACCAAGAATCATACATTAAATGACTACCACTCGAAAATATTGATCCACTGTCCGAAGCAACTTGGCATCTCTGTCTTGATATTAATCTATATTTAAATTGTTTACTCTCTAAAAAAAAATTTATATCGGCATTTTTTCACCTATTAGAATCGAAATTGCGACCATCTTCTGACATAAGTAAAGTTACAGGTAAAACACTGAAAAGCAGAAGTTAATTTTAAAGAATAAAAATTTTAAAACACTATTTTTTTCAAGTAGACAGAGAAGAAGAAAATAACTTTATTTTTGTCATGCATAAAATGTAAGGCTTATCGTTTTCTTAATAAAATTTCAACGTCCCCGAAAATCAGTCGAAAACGATGCTCTCTGCGCTCCTTAGGTCCAACATAAATAAGGTTATTCTCTGCTTTTTTAATCTAATAATAAAAGATACTTCTCATTTTTCTAAAAAAGACTAAAATAATCATAATTTAACTTACCTGAAGAAGGTATATTTTATTGTTCAATAAGCCCCATTCTATATCTCTAGAAGAACGATAAAACTTCTCCACCTGAAATATATATGGAATTACAATATCTTGAATTTACTTACAAACAATAAATAAAACGTAATTAAAACAACATTTTTTAAACTAAGAATTATCGCTATAACACTTAAAAGTACACATAATAATTATGCCTTATATGTATATTCAATTTATTCGAAATTTTCGGAGGAGAGAAATATAAACAAATCTATTAAACCACATTTAGATGTGAGCGCATAAATGTTGTTAATGAAATCGTACATTCCAGACAAAATTGCCTGGTTAAGGCAACAATAAAAATAGACTGACAAAGACGTAGCCTCTGGTAAAAAGAGTCATCATAATGAAGAGAATTACAAAATGTTAAAAATAATATTACATTAATTAGACTTAAAATTGTCCTGGTTACTCAGTACCAGTCAACTTGTTCATTTTTATATTTGTCGATAGTAATTTTTTAGTGGTTAAAGTGAAGTTACAGGCAGGTTTATAACCTTAATTTTGGAAGAGACTGTAATATGCTAGTGGTTGCTGTTGTTGTCGTAGGCCATTAAGGCAAAGGGTGCGATTTTTCTTGTTTTCCATTGGCGTCCTCTAAGGCCAAGAACTCGACTTCTGCCACACCCATACGTCACGCTAGTTTATATGGCGGACCCATTCATACATCCACAGATCGTAATTTTGACCTGAACCAGAGAACGATTAATCATCTATTCAGTACCCCCTGAGGTATAAATTGTCTTAGGAGCATGGAGGATTTTGTCACCCGACATATTTAACGTGCACTAGTTACCATTTATTACACGGGTAGTCTTCGGCAGGCTGACATAATTGTAGTACAAAACTTAAACAACAATTTATAAAATAGTATTGTGATTAAAAAAAATGGCTTGTCTATTTAACCATTAATCTACATGTAGTTATTTATATGTAGCAACGATTAGAAAAATTATTTCCTGAAAATTTTGAAATTCAGTAGTAGTTGGAAAAAACAATTAACTTGAGACTTACCACTAATTTATGAATCTGGACTTATTATTTGTCTAATAAATGTTCTGAGGGGAACTTGATGACATTTATAATTGACATGATAATAAAAAATAAAATTGTAATTTTACTGGAATAGGTTTTGTTCCATAAATTGCAGTCCTGATTACTTACTCGTACAGCTAGTTTTCCAAGATTGATGGCGGTTTCTTCGTTTACGCAAGACACTGTTTTAGAGTCCTCTGGTAAATCTTCAACTTCTGTCCCACCAGACTCTAAAGTGAATAAGCAGTTTTAATGGCCGTCCGTTTATGCGTAAGAAATATGGCAGGTTAGTATAGATTCAGAAATTATTCTCTTTAAAAAAAAGTACTAATTTCGAAAACAGGATTCCCACTACATGGGAAAAATAAACAAAATGTAGCTAAGATTTTTCAAATCTACTGCGAAAAATACTAAAAATTTTCTTTCATTATAAAATTTCAAAGTTGATGCATTTTTCTCACCCCATTATTATTTTCTTAAACTTAAACATTTATTGGTAGCTTAAAATATCTAGATTTATCTCACTCTGCTATACTTCTTTAAAAAACATTCCAGACCGTAGAAACCCTGGAAAAGTAATTTCGAAGTTGGAACATAGCTGCCAACACTTAAGGTTTCCCCGGAGAATTTAATTTTCATATTTAAAGTGGTAGCGAAACTGATACCATTCCTTAAACTTCTTGAATTATAATTATTATTATAAATGAGTTTTATTACCACTGCATATAAATAATTACTGCAAGTATATATGAGCGTAATAGTCATTACGATAGCGAAATACAACCTAAATTAGTTATAAAAATATTTTTCAGTAATATAGTTTTTTCAAAATTGTTTTACTACCACTTAGAAATTTTATTCTCAGAAAGAGTGAAAGTTGGAAGGTATATAATTGAATCTTTCAATAGCTGCATTATATTACCTTCAATTATATTATAGTTTTCAATTATATTTATGCTATTATAATTATTAAACCATGCACATTAACAAATTTCAGTCAGCTGTATTATAAGAAGGTACTAATGTCGATTGACAACTTTTAGTGTTTGAATCCCCATTTTGTTTCCTTTTTCATTTACTATTAGAGCAAAAATATATAAATGATACGGATTCCTTTTGAACAAAATAGAGATGGTCTGTATGAACAAACACTGAATGCTAATAATAGTTAAAATTAATTCAGTATGAAATGTAACAGCTTTTTACAATTCAATTATCTGGCGTTATAAAAATGACCAAAGATTGGGAAAAATCAAAAAAAAGAGAAATGAAGAGAGACAGAAATTTTAAGTTTTTTGCGTGTTATCTACTCAAACAATCCAAAAATATTTTCTCTCTTAAATTTTAACAACACCAACTTTTGTCAACAGGTAATGCTATAGACCAGGGGTTTCCAACTTACATTAGGCCGAGGGCCGCAATTAAAAACACCAACCAAATGGCGGGCCACAACTTTATCAAAATTTTATATAGGACTCTTTTATGTTAGAAAGAACATTAAATATTGCTGTCATATTTTTATCAAAGTTTTTTTAATATTAAAAAACAAAATTACAAGCATTACAAATAATGTTTGATACGTATCACTTTAAATCTTAGTTTAAATCAGAAACTTAGGGAAAAGATTTTTTTTTATTTTAAATTTAATTCTGCGATAAATTTAATTCTGCGATAAATTAACATTTTTTTCGACTTATTAGGAATCATAGAAACAACAAAAAAATTCTCAAGCATCTGAAATTAATTTTTTTTTTCTTCTTTTCCGCTCATGCGATATTCAATTCAAGGAATTTAGATAAATCATGATATTCATTCCCTCTTTTATGCGCTTTAATATTTACAAATGTAAATATTTTCGTCCAAAATGAGTGGTTTCGAAAAGTTAAATCGGAGAATTTCTTTCAGAAAATTTCTGATACGTACATGCTAAATAATATTCACAAAATACAAAAAAAAAAATAAATAAATAAATAAATAAAAAATAAAAAAGAGCAACGTACACGATTATTTTTGTATTTGAATAAATATTTTCTTGGATGTAAAACCTGAGAAATAAATTTTTTTGCAACGTTGGTATGTTAAATTTCACAGAAATAAAAAAATTAGTTTATTTTATTTATTTATTTTTTTTTTTAACGAGAAAAGTATTTTGAACCCTTATAGATTTTTTACGAAAATTGTCCTCACAAAAAAAATGAAAACTAATATATTTTAGTTCGCGGGCCACAAAAAAGGCTTGGAGGGCCGGATGCGGCCTGCGGTCCGCCAGTTGGAAACCCCTGCTATAGACTGTAAAAAATCCGGAAAATGCTTTTTTTCTCGATGTAAGACCATTCGAACTGAAGATTTTGCACCAGATTCAGTCACTTTTGTCCTCCTTATGTGCACCTCATTGTTTCTGCAAATTGTGGTTTGAAACCACTGTGCCATAGTTATTTTCGTAGTTGGTAACATCATCTGTCGACGAAACTTGTAATTACTTTTAAAACATGGTTAAAATAAATTTTCATGGCTCGTAAGCGGACGAAACGAATGTATTCTAAAGTAGTTTTAATTTAATTGCTTTTATAATTGGGACTCCGTGTAAAAAAAATCAAACCTAAGTTACATTTAAAATATTTTAAGTCCTTTTCATTTAAATTTTTTATACATTTTATAATATTTATTTTAATTTTTTCATTATAAATGCTTAAGTTTTCATTTATTTTATCACAAACAAGCTAGGAAAGACATTTGTTAACACTTTTTTAATTATTTCATGGCACATAAAATCATCAAAAGTGCATTTCATCACAGTTTTGAAATAAGCTATTCAATCAGAAACGTGCTGTAAAAATAATAAAAAAATCTTAATTTTTTTAAAAAAAAATATGAGTTCTAATTAATTTAGATACGTATTTTAAGTAACGTGGTTTTAATTTCAATTATTTATTTATTTATTTTTTTTTAAAAATGTGAATAAAATTCTTAACGGCATTGCTAATAAAATTGCAAAACAATTGTTAATGAAACAAGGAGGAGTAAATAATTTATCAAATCTTTGATATCGAAAAACGTAATTTTTTTTAAAAAAGTCATTGAATTTATTAGTAAATTATGGTAGGTAATAAGTAATTACAGTTAAAAGCAATAGTATGCTAGGCAATGAGTTAACTATAATCCAAGACGTAAAATGAAATTTTAATGGAAACACTTTCTGTCTAAATAAAGTACCTAAACATAAAGCGTAAAATTAAGTCAATATTACTGACTAATTCAAAATTGAATGCATTGAGTTTTACCTTTTAAAACAATTCTTTGGTGCTTAGAGCCAACTGTTACAGATTTCATTTTCAATTCATCATTATTAGATCTTTCAAGCATAATTGTATCCGGTTCAACTGATCCAGAAACAACAGTCTGAAAGAAATTGTGAGAGACAATTATTAATGAGTATGCATTATTAATATTTATAATTCCAAAAACAATGTAAAAACACAACTTTTTTCTTTAATAGCAGCTAGTAGGAGCCTATTGCTAGTAGGAGCATGGTAAGATTATTTAAACATATAAATCTTAATTTCATTTAATTATAATTAACCTCATTTTTATTGATTGTTAAGTAAAAATAATTTAATATTTATAATTAATATTAATAAATTAAATATAAAATTATTTGCCTGCCATGATGAATCTATGATTGAAGCATGAATGTATTCATTATTTTTTAATGGAAAAATGTAAAGGTTCTCTTGAGGACGCTATTCTTTTACGATGTTAAATGCGATATTACAAAATAAAAAAAATTATCCTAAGATAAAAAAATTAAGATAATGTGTGTATATCACTGAAAAATAAAATGCAATTGAAAATGAGTTTGAAATAAAAGAAAGAAAGCAGAAAGCAAAATTACCGACGTGGTGTAAAAGTTAAAGTGTCTTAAAAATAGATATACTAATCTAACAGTTAACAAAAATTCGATAAGAAGAAAAAAATATAAAAAATATAGCTTAATAAACATAGCTTAAATTGCAAAGATAATTTTTAAAAATATTTTTTGTAAAAAAAATATGAAGCAAATATATATAAGAAAGTACTGATCGGCAATTATACTTCTAAGTGTTGGCGAAGTAGCCTTAGCCGAAGTACCTATAATAGTTTCCTGATATAGTTCGTTCACCAGAAGTTGAGACTTGGCTCCACCTCCTGGGACGCAGAGTTCATTTCAGCGCGGGAGTTAGAAGAGAAACATCTCCGTTGTTGAAATTGAGACAACCCTTAATTTGCGCCAAACACAAAAAGTGAATTATTTTTCAGTCATTACTTTGCTTTATCATCTGCTATTATACCTTTTGTTACACTAGCTAATTAAATATAGTTTAAATTTAAAAACTGTTGTTCTCCCAGCGAAATGGCTCATAAAGGACAAACTATTCACTCAAAGGAAAGAAATATCATAAGAAATGGTGCAAAATATATTCAAATTTATGAAATATTTATTGTTAAAAAAATGCACATAAAGTTTGCGAAATAAATATTTTTGCCAAACGATCGCCAAATAGCAACATTGTTCAAGTTTGCTCACAACCTTCTCCCAAAAATAGCGAAATAGTATCGTCGCATACCACGTGATGAAGGCGGAGCCAAGTGCCAACTCCTGGTGAACGAGCTATACATTAAGTGTTAGATTAAAACTTTAAATAAAGACTGTAGTATAGATTTAGGAACTCAAAGTTTCTTTCTACGTTTATTTTATTCCGCATAAAAATGTGTTTATTTTTATTGACAGGAGACGATTTCGTCAATGAAACTGAAAACGTTTGCATAATAATTGTTTATTAAAAAATAAAAAATTATACCATTACTGTAATGAAAAAGATGGAAACTATTTTTGGCTAGATTTCATTTTAAAAGTCATTTTGAATCTCAAAATTGCAAATATTTAGTTTTAAGCTAGATATATATTACGAGATTTATTAAAATGCTCATATCATTATAAAAAAAATTCGCGTCATATTATTAGATTCTAAACTGAATCTTTCTAAACTGAATTATTTTTCTAGTTTTAAAAATATTTGTTTATAAATAAATTATGTTGAAAATATGGTATTAAATGTTGTGAAAAAACTAGAATTTGTATATATGTAATGATTAAAGTAATAAATCCGATTATTATTAATAATAACGGCTCCTTTTGGTCAAAATGAGAATTAAAAGGGGAGATTTCGGCACTGTGTGATCTGTGGCTGACTAATCGCCAAGTCTTGGCAAATTCCAGGCATCTGTCCGGGGAACTAAACATAGCAGAAAGGGACCAACTCGAAATGTATAACTCGTAGCCAACACCTGGCAGACACATATAAATGGTTTTTATTATTTTTATTTTAATATTTTCAGTTTCAAATTAATTTGGCACTTTAGCGTGGCAGATCACGATACGGAACTAGCTCCAATAAAAACGGGGAAGAATGACAATGAGCAAGCTTCATTGGTTATTATTAACCCCTTAATGCACAGATTTTTTGAAAAAAAAACAGGGCAAAACAATCAAGTTTTTTTAATGTAAAAAAACGCACTTTAGAACTTAGTCTTTTCTTTTCGTGGACAATTTAGATATACTGCGCTGCTGTTCCGTGGAAAAAGGCTATATTCAGAGATGCTAACTGCTCCAGACACGCCTAAATAATCAAAAACCGGTAAATGACTGCAAGTAAATTTTGCAAATATTTGATAATTTTTGCTCGCTTTTTAGGTTTAGCATCACACAAGTATCGCTTTTACTTGCTTTACTTAAACAACTGGGTGCCTAGGCCACGCAGCGGCCCCTAACCCATCCATGTTAAAAATATTATTACAGTGAATAAAACATTTTGATTTATGTAACAGTGTGGTAACATAAAAATAACCATGATTAGAAATTTGCACAACTTGATCGACGATTTACATAAATTGCCTTTAAAAAAAGTGAATACAGCCATGATTAGGTCGATATACATGAGATACAAGCTTTATCTGTGATATTACATAAATTGCAGTTGAAATTTGAAATTGAGCATAAAAAATTGATGATAACATATATACACATGATCGGGAAAATTATGAAGATTATAAATAATAATTATGAAAATTATAAATTATGAAGATTATACATAAATTTTTCTAAGCCATAGTGGCGCCATCTACTGTGATAAACATTCAAGAATATAAATATGCATAGTGCTAGAGATATTATCAAAAGTTCGAAAAAGAGTTCAGGTTTAGTCAAAGTGGCTTTAATCTGGAGTGGACTCACGCATGATTGCTTGAAGTAGGACTTCTCTGTTTTTCAATAGTTCTTTTAATTCTTTGATGATTGAGACAAGTCTATGGGCTTGACCTGCCGATGTTGGTGGAGTTATAGTTGGAGTTGCTCGAGAGCCCTTCCTGGGGGGACGGATGCTGCATCCCGTGAAGTTGGCGGTGTGTGCCTCACCACAGTTGCAGCATTTGGGTGGTGTAGTTTTGTCTTTATGGCACTGAAAGGAACGTTAGTCGGCGGCACATTTAAGACATCTTGGTTGAGATTTGCAGGTTCGCTGTGTGTGGCCGAAATTCTGGCAGTTGTAACATTGGATTGGGCTATTCCCGCCACGGAATCTTTCATTTCGGGAAGGTCACAAATATTGGTAACTGAGTAGATTTGCTGATTTTGGTCTGTTTTGATGAATATTGTGAGAAAAAGTGGGAGGAGCCGATGGGCCTCGCCCACTTTTCTCTTAAACTGTATGACTTTTTGTGTTATAATGCCTGTCTTGGCCAATTCAAGGGAGATATGTTCTGCATTGGTGCCAACTGGAAGTCCACGGACTAGAACTTTAATGCATGATTGGTAGATCTATTTCTGGAGTTGTGGGTGGAGCTGCAGTTGCATGGTAATCCTCCTTGGGTTGGGCTAGGTCAGGATCTACATTGGTTTCAGAAAGTTGCAAGGAAGTGGCGACATCTATTAGTAATGGGGGGCAGCTATTTGTAGTCATGAAGGAATTTTCTTCAGATTTTTCAACGTTATTTTGCTTTTTCTTTTTCCGCTTTTTTGGAGGGGGCTCTGCATTATTTTTAGCTGTATTTTCTGTATCGGTTGTCATTTCGCTTTTCTGTTCTAAATTTTGGCCCGCATCTTGAGTTTCCATAAGTTGAGTTTCGAGTTGCGAGCAATTCTGGAGCACTTTCGCTGTTGTTTCAATTTGATCGTTGGTCATCCTTATCATTTCCATCCATTCTTCATATAACATTCGTTCACCTGGATTCATGCTTTCCACATTTACCGTTGGTTCTCGTGATGTCTTTTCGGTTTGCCGTTTTCCGCCACGTGGATGATTTTGATATGTAGCCATATTGCGTGATTTGATTTTGTTGTCGAATTCTGTGGGTTCCTCATCCGTCGTAGAGTCACTGAGGTTTTGACGCCCGGTAGGCGTGCTTGTCTTTCCACCACGTCCGCAACGTCGAAGACTCATTTTGCAGTACTTTAAAAATTGAATTGAATAAACTTAAACTTAATTTTTGTACTTTACTTTAAACTACGAGCTTCAAACTTTGCCACGTCCAGACATAATTTCGAGAGAATTATTAAGAACTACTCACCAAAAGGATTAAACATCAATAACTCAAAACATCAAAATTTTTTCCTCGTCAGGAACATCAAATGGGCTGACCGGA